GGACTGCCAGCCTTGTGGTTAGCAGTCAGATGCCTTAGGCACTATGCCACCAGAGCTCTTTAGAATGGGTACAAATGTAGATCTCTTCAGTTGGTTGGCCAGGTTTTCCAAGTTTTTGTGGCATACACAAGTGAGTGCTTCCAGCCTTGCATCCATTTGTTGAAACATATCAGTTAATATTCCATCAATTCCTGGAGCATTTTTTTTTCACTAATGCCTTCAGTTTGGACTTCTTCCTTCAATACCGCTAGTTCTTGATCATAGGCTACCTCCTGATATGGTTCAACATCGACCCTTTATTTTTGGTACAGTGACTTCGTATACTCTTTCCATCTTCCCTTGATGCTTCCTGCGCCATTCAGTATTTGCTTATAGAATTCTTCAGTATTGCAACTCAAAGCTTGAAATTTTTCTTTAGTTCTTTCAGCTTGAGAAATGCTAAGCATGTTCTTCCCTTTTCATTTTCTAGCTCCAGGTCTTTTTATATTTCATTATAATACTTCATTTTCTTAAGCTGCCTTTTGAAATCTCCTGTTCAGCTCTTTTATGTGTCATCACTTCTTCCCTTCGCTTTAGCTACTCTACATTCAAGAGCAAGTTTGAGTCTCTTCTGATATCCATTTTGGTCTTTTCTTTCTTCCCTGTCTTTTTAATGACCTTTTGCTTTCTTCATATATGATGGCCTTGATGGCATCCCACAACTCGTCTAGTCTTTGGCCATTAGTGTTCAACGGATCCATTCTATTCTTGAGATGATCTGTAAATTCAAGTAGGATATACTCAAGGTGGTACTTTGGTTCTTGTATACTTGTTTTAATTTTCTTCAGTTTAACTTTGAACCTGCATATGAGTAATTGATGGTATGTTCTGCAGTTGCCCCCTGGCCTTCTTCTGACTGATGATACTGACCTTCATTGTCTTTCCACAGATGTAGTTGATTTGATTCCTGTGTATACCATCCAGTGAGTTCCACACGTATAGTGTTTATTGTTGTTGGAAGAAGGTATTTGCAGTGAATTAGTCTTGCAAAGTCTATCATGTATCTCCAGCATAGTTTGTTACCACAGCCATAGTTTCCAACTATCAGTCCTGTTTGTTTCCAACTTTCACATTCCAATCGCCAGTAATTATCAATGTATCTTGATTACATGTTTGATGAATTTCAGAGTACAGATGTTGGTAAAAATCTTCACTTTCTCCATCTTTGCCATTAGTAGTTGGTAGGTAAATTTGAATAATAGTAGTATTCACTGGTCTTTCTTGCAGGTGTATGGATATTATCTTATCATTGACAACATTTTACTTCATGATGTATCTTGATATGTTCTTTTTGTTGATGAATGCAATGTTATTCCTCTTCAGTATTTCATTCCTGGCATAGTAGACCATATGATTGTCTGATTCAGATTCAGATGGTCAATACCAGTCCATTTCAGCTCACTAATGCCTAGGATGTTGATCTTTATATTCCATTTCATTTTTGGTAACTTTCAATTTTCCTAGATTCATATGTCATACATTCTGCATTCTGATTATTAATGGATGTTTGCAGCTGTTTTTCCTCATTTTGAGTTGTGCCACATCAGCAAATGAAGGTCCCAAAAGCTTTACTCCATCCACGTCATTAAGGTCAACTCTCCTTTGAGGAGGCAGCTCTTCCCCAGTCGTATTTTTAGTGCCTTCCTACCTGAGGGGCCCACCTTCCAGCCCTGCTCTTCTTCAGGTTTGCACTGGCCTGCAAACCTTTCTAGAGGGAGATCACCAGCTCCTCCATCCCAGTCTGACTTAGTCTGTAATTCCACTGAAACCTGTCCGCCATGAGTGACCCTGCTGGAGTTTGAAAACCAGTGGCATAGCTTCCAGCATCACAGCAACACACAAGCCACCACAGTATGACAAATGACAGATGAGCAGTGGGGCTGTGTTGTACCTATAAATACTTAAAAGCTGGTGGTTGCATAAACAAATAGAGAAAACATTTTCTGATCACTATTATCCTTTCCCCTCTAGGCACCACTGAGAGAAAACATGAGATTAAAAAGATACCTCCTGAAAGACCAGAAACGCTTCCAAACAGAACAGAAGAAAAAGGTATGAGATCCATTCTTCATTGGCACTTCCAGAGCAGCAGTAGGCAAAGCTATCTGTTATAGGGCTCATCCTGATAGCCCAGAATTTACTTTTTCTTTGGAATATGGTAATTACGGCTTGGTTTTGATTACTTTTAAACATCCTGTTTCTAAGGAATTAGTGGATGGTTATGTGGCACTTCTTTGAGCCAAAATTTCTCATCAAATGAAAAACAACCAGGCCAGCAACTTGAGGCTCTGTAGTGATGCTTCTGCCCTCACCACCCTGCCCACACCAGCAGCATCCTGAAGTTGTGGTGACAACTAGAAGGTCCTTGAGGGCCAAGGTGTGTCTTCCCCATTTTATAGCTAGCTTGGCCTCCCCCCAGTGCCTGGTACCTCAGGATACTCATTACCTGTTGAAGGATAGACATGGCTTTGTTAAATTCCCATTCAGATAAAGGAGAGCTCTATTCCTCTGTCGCTGCTGGGCCCTTGACCTTGGCTAACTATGTTACAGACATATATCCTTGGTGAAAAATGTTGGGCCAGGGACACTTGGCATAATCGGGAAAAGCATTCGGTACCTGGAGGCTCAAAAAAATCCAGTTGCCATGAAGTCAATTCTGACTGATGGTGACCTCGTGTCAAAGCAGAACTACTTCATAGGGTTTTCTAGGCTGTGCCCATTAGTAGCCAAGTTCTTAATCATTTGAGCCACCCAGGAACTCCTCAAAGTGGTGAGAAATAGCATTTGCAGAGTAGTAGCTTAACATGAAAAGGAGCTCTGGTGGCACAGTGCCTAAGGCATTTAACTGCTAACCAGAAGGTTGGCAGTTCAAACTCATCAGCTGCTCTGCATGAGGAAGGTGGGGCAATCTACTTCCATGCCCCATTGGTCTTGCGGTCAGTTTTGCCAATGTGTCTGACTCCTGTTGTCCTGAGTGTCTCTCCCAGAGAAGTCTGCAGGCTGTGGAAGGGATTTTTCTCTTAGGCAGCTACGATTTGATTGATCACACATTTTATGGGAAAAGTGCCGTGTTACTCTTATGAACAAGAGGCACAGCATATTCCATTTTAAGAAGCAGTTATGTTTCAGTCACAAGAGCAATGCTAAATTAATGAATATAATTATTTAGAGGTGTTCCTTGGTGGCCTCATGAAATTTTATTGTGAAATTTAATATTTTACATCAACCTGCCAAAAATTTTACCATTACAGTCTCTTAAGAAATTATACCTCTTTTTTCACAGTGAACAGTTAAAGCTTGAGTTGTGGAAACCTCATTGTGAAGCCCAGGTCTATGTAACAGACACACTGCAAAGATAGCCAGTGAGCATATGCCGTCTGAATAGCTCCTTAATGCAAGGGTATGCTGTGAAAAACCCAAAATATCCCAAAGCTGTTCCCTGTCTGTGTCAGACTAAGCTCTGAGGTGAGGGCATTCTCTCCTCTGCTCCATTCTGACTAACATGGACTTGGCTTATGTGGGAACAACTGCCGTAGTTGGCTGGCCAAGCAACCACACACCACTGGTCCCATGAGTCTGTGCTTTGTGTCACAGTGGAAGGCAGAAGTCCTGGTCAATAGGGAACTAGCCCTACTCATTCAGCCAGCCCAAGCCTCCTTTCCCCTTCGTTGTGCAGGCCACTGGCTCTCCGGTCCCATCCCATTGCCTGGCAGGAGAGTTTCCCTTCCTTTGCATTCCTGACAAGCCCCTCCTCATCTCACTCTCGTGTACCAGTCCATGTGTTCCCAGCATTCCTGGTTGGTGCATATTTATCCAATGAAATGCTGTGGGGGTGAGCACAGCACTATCTTAATATCCCTGGGGGCTGTTTAAAGCTTTTACCACTTGGTTTGTGGACCCTGACAACATTTATAAATTTGACTTTGCAGGTAAAATGTGTTCTGAGGAGCACCTTCCAAGTAAACCTAAGTTCCCTACTTACACCCAGTTGGCACTTCTCGGAAGTTCTGTCTTTAGAAAGAGAATGTGGATGTGTGCTTTTAGACCATGCACAGGACAAGGCTAGTTGGGGACAGAAAACATGAAAGTGTCACTGAACACTGTACAGTTTTGCCACCAAGTCTGGCTCCAGCTTTGTGCTGATAGCTGTGACTCCAAAAATCCTTGGAAAGAAAATACCTGTGTGGCCCAGCTTACCTTCCAAGTTCAAACTGTACACAAAAAGAATCCAGAACTCACTGTTGCTCCCTGATACTCTCCCCCTTGGATTGGCTCCTGGCCCTTCCCGTGTGCTGACCTGAGCGGTGTCGGCCTCTTTCTTCCCACAACAAGCAGGTCCTGGGGGACCTTTGCCAAGCCCATCAGACATTTCCCGAGCCCCTGCCATGCGCTGGGCACTGTCAGGGTTTCACGGCCATGGCCAGGCGTGGGCCCTGCTCTTGGGAGCTGACAGCCAAGCAGGCTGTGCCAAGCATGCCAACACCCAGGAGGTAGTGGGGTCCAGGCAGAGCCCGTTTGTGAAGGGCTCCCCTTAGGTGCTTGGGTCAAGAATTAAATAAGTCGACCTTTGAAGGCATACCCAGCTGTTGGGAAGGAGCGGTTGTCGCCGTTTAGCCATGTCTTGAAGGATGAGTAGGAGTTTGTGAAGCATGGGCAATGCCTGGAAGGACATTCCAGGCAGAGGAAGCAGTAGGAGCAGAGATGTGGAAGAGGGGGCCAGGGAGCTGCTGCTCCATAGGGCTGTTTCTGACATGACGAAGGATAATGATGTTCCTCTCATCCCTTCATTTTCACTAATGTCAACCATGATTTTTTTTTTAAAGCGGGAAACAAGCACTTTGTACCTAAGTCCTGTCACTTACACTGGATCTATCTGTTTTCTTTATGAATTTCAAACAATGATTTAAAGAAAGACCAGAGAGAGAGCCAAAACTGGATTTACAGAAGCCCTCCGTTCCTGCCATACCACCAAAAAAACCTCGGCCACCTAAGACCAATTCTCTCAATAGACCTGGTGCGCTGCCCCCAAGAAGGCCGGAACGACCAGTGGGTCCTCTGACCCATGCCAGGTACTGCTGTGTGCTCACTCCTGGGGGTGGGCAGGACGACTGTGGAACACAGGAAGGGCTTCATGTGTGCAGGCCTTGGGAAGGGAACAGGAGGGAGGGCACAAGGCTTTCTTCTGAGTCCTTCAGCAAAGTTGTCCAGGACTCTGGCCACTTCTGTCCTTGCTCCTGTGTTTGGTCAGAAGTGAGTGCAAGGTTAGGAGGCGCCATGTGGGTTACAGGGTCAGCAGCCAAGCATCTGCCACCAGCAGGGAGGCTCTGCCCCCACACGGGAAACTATGCTTCCTTAGAGCCACGCCAGCTTTCCCCTGACTGGCAGTGCATGGCACGCCCACCCTTACCCACTTGGGTGTCTTGCTGACATCTGTGTGCACCTCACACTCGCTCAGTGACATCAGGGGACCTGTTCCCTGCCCTGTGGTGCCTCCTGTCATACCCCCAGGCCCCCTGTACTCTGCCCATTGTGCTTGTCACCACAAGGCCCTATCGTGGAAGCCAGCACCAGTCACTGGCTCCTAAACTATGAAAGCCTCCAAAGGCAAGGGACATGCTTTATTCAGGCACATGTTCTGAGGTGTGCCTGGCACAACTAATATTTGTTAACTAGCAGGCTGGATGTTCAGTATAGTATTGTGAAATTAGAGTCAAATATGGTACATTCCACAACTAAGGTGCCTGCCACATAGCAAGACACTTGCTGAATTCTCACCATGAGTTCCTTGCGAGAACTTTCCACCATTATATGTAGGTTACACGTGTTGGTGTAATATACCAGTAACCTGGACCTGTTGACTTGTACTTATCAACGTGCAGTTATGCCCTCTTTTTTTTTTTTCCTTAAGAGCTAAGTTTGCATGGTGAGAGCCACGTGGGGCTTCGGTGCATGCACGTTAGAGTCAGACAAGCTTCTGGACTTGCTCTCTCTTCACCCCACTGTCTCCATCTGTCAACTGAGAATCACAGTGGAATGCACCTAAGGGTGGAAGGCCATTATTCCCAAGTCCTTAGCACCATGCCTATAAACCAGTGTTATTTTCATTGTCATTTTTACTCTTGCCTGTCACGCTGGGCTGCTAACCAGAAGGCTGGCGGTTCAAACCCACCAGCCACTCTTTGGAAGGAAGGTTGGGCAATCTACTTCCGGAGTGATACCGCCACAGGGACCCAAGGAGGGGTCGCTGTGAGTCGGATCTGACTTGACAGCAGTGTATTTGGTTTGGTTTATCACACTGGGCATACTGCAGTAAGACAAGAATAGCTCACTTTGTTTCAACAACAGTAACAAAACACTCATGCCCACATATCAAGGCAGGTAGAGACATGAGGGGTTGAGCGATGTCAGAATTTCAGCCAGCTGCAGTGCACACATGCCCACGTGCCAGACCGGCCACCCAACCGGGACTCCTCTCAGGCACGTGAGTGTGTTTGAGGAGCAGCTGGTTCATGTATGTTATTCTGCAGGCAGCCCAGCAAGGCCCAGTCAAACCTGCACAGTCAGCCCCTGAGGAAATTGAGAACATGGGCACTGTTGGGTTTGTCAGGCCCCTGCGTGGCATGCTCTCTGCCACTGACTGATAGCAGGGGCTGTTTGCACATGCACATGACATGCAGCCTGACAGTTCTGTTGACCTTAGCAAGGGCCACTACAGTGGTGGGGTCGGCCCAGAGGCGAGCACTAGAAGAAAAAGGTTATGTAAGCCTCCACACTTCTGGAAATACACAAACAATGAGAAGATTTAGAGCAACAAAGGTTCCACATTCCCTGAAAGGGAATCAAGTCATGCTTGGGCAAGTGCTATTAGTCTTCTAGGGACTACAAACATTTCTATGAACTCAATAACCATTTCCAAAGTACTCCTGCAGCTCTCTAATGATCTGATGGCATGCCGCCTGCTTCCTTGCCTGCTAGGGTTGTTCTCAAACCTCATTATCTGATAGGTGCTGGCTTCATGAGCCATTGATTAGATCTGTGAGCATGGGGGAGGCATAGCCCAACTGCTGAGCTCACAGAGGCCCAAATGCCCTCCTGCCTCTGCTTAGCTCCCTTCTGCCTGCAGCTTTCCTAATGTCCAGTTATAAGTTAGAAGGTCACTAAGGAAGATGCATGAGGGCACGTGTATGGCAGCCAGTGGGAAACAGAGTCATTCTCAGCATTGTGTGTTTCATCTGAGCAGCTTTGGAAAGGAGGACGGCATCCATCCAGCCCCTCAAGGAGCTAGTTTGCAGGGGGAACAGGGGAGAAGCCCTGAGATTGCTTCCTGGCAGTGCTCGGAACAGGAGGACTCAGTGAGACTGGGAGCCGCTTGGGGAGCCAGAACCTGTATTGGCCAGTTGCTCAGCCGGTTAAGTGTAGGAAGGGCTTGTTCCAACTCATCTGTTCACAAGCTTGAGCCTGCATCAGAACCACCGGGAAAACTTATGTTAGAAACAGATTTCAGCACCCCAGCCCTGGAGTTTCTGGTCCGCAGGCCTGGGAATTGCCCGCTCTCACAGGCTCTCAGGTGCTCCTGGTGCTGTCGGTGCACGTCCGCGCTGTGAGAACCACTGCTCTAGATTCTGGCAAGTTGGTGGTGTGCCACCTCTCCTGCACCTGTGACTCCTCCCTGACTAGAGAGCCCAGCTAGCAGCCTTTCTTCTGGGATCCTTCCCTTACCAATGCCTGTGCCAGGTGTTTGCACTCCTCCAAACGCCTGGCCCTATGTCTGGCCTGGTCCTGCACCCCATATGCTGTGACTGGGATGCTCCCACCCCCAGACTCCTTTACCAGATTGAAAGTAGATCAAGAGTGTGTTTTGTCAGCCTCACACCTCACAGGATGGAGCATATGGGAGTTGCTCATTTGACAGACACTTGTTAAGTGCCATGGTCCCTGAACCGGAACCAGGGGCCCAGAGGCTGCCAGGGCTTACCGTTTGGTCATTGTGGCCTCTCCTCCTGTTCTTCCCAGCCTCTGTATCAGCTCTTCAACTCATGTGCCTTACATTCTAGGCAACCTGGATTTCAACATAAAAGAAAAGCTGGCTTACTGTTTGTTAATACTTAATGCACTTCATGTTTATTGCTAAGCACTTACATTGAACAGCACATCCACTGGTTTATGGACTAGTTTTGTTCTGTCAAATTAGTTGAGGTAGAACTGTTCACTTAATTCAAATGATTGTGTGTTACTGGTTCTCCAGAGAAAGGGTATTATGTGCTGTGTGACCCACATCATCACCAGGATTGTCCTGGTGGATGGATGAACAGACGGACTAACAGACAAATGATTGCACAAATAGACACCCACTCGTCGTTTGCCATTCTTTTTGGAACTAGGCGTTGCAGCGCCAGCTGCATTGTCTGGGCTCGAGCTTTCTCTCACCAGCCAGAAAGCTCGCTGCCAACTGTGGCTTGCAGAAGAGATCGAATTCCTTTTATTTAAACAAGAACTAGCAGCTTTTAGGGGAAAAAAAGGAATGCAGCATTTTAGGAAGAACTAGAGTCTTGTGCTTCCATAAAGATTTACAGCCTTGGAAACCCAATGGGGCAGTTCTGCTCTGTCCTGTAGTGTCACTGTGAGTCAGAATTGACTCCATGGGAATGGGTGGGGTTTGGTATTCTATACAGGAGAGAAACGGAGCCCTGGTGGCGCAATGGCTAATTGCTCCACTGCTGACTGAAAGGTTGGCAGTTCAAACCCACTAGCCTCTCTGCAGGAGAAAGATGAGGGAGTGTGCTTCCTTCAAGATTTCCAGCCTTGAAAACCCTCTGGGGCAGTTCTCCTCTGTCCTATAGGGTTGCTATGACAGCATCAGCTCGACAGGAGAAATGGGACTGCCACTCGTAAGCAATTTTGTGCTCAGTGTGAGCAAGCAGAAGCTTGTGTGAAGGCCCTCATAGTGTGAAAGCCCTCTTCTCAGATGTACCATGTTCAACCATTTTAAGAGTGTTCTTCCCGTTTCTGGAAAGTAAGATGGAATTTTAACAGAAAAAAAAAAATTACTCTTAAAAAAAAATTTCAGTACCAGGATTGATTTAAATCTTGAATGATGATAGGAGAGTGTCCTAGGCCAGAGGTGCCTCCTTTGTTTTCAGGTGTGTGCCTGGGGATGTCTCGGTTCTGATGTCACAGTGTGCGAGGCCAGGTCTTGCTGCTCCGTCCAGCCCAGCACTTACCCACAGTGGCTGTGGTGCCAAGAGCGTCCCAGCCACTCCTTTTTTTGGTATTTGAAGAAAAGGAACTTACGAGTAGACAGCCTGTTTATTTGTTTTGATGTTTGAACATAAATATATTCATATAACTACATGCATTTAAAGTTTCTTGTGGGTATAATACGCATCTGCACACACGGCTATTTTGATATGATATGTTTAATAATATATGTTATCAGTTGAATAAAAACCAGTTCAGACACCTCCGTGAGAAAAGGTCAAAAAAAAAAAAGAGAAAGAGATTCTAGGAGATGCTGGCGAGAAGCAGTTGCCTGAGCTCTAATGATTGTCTGAGGGTTGAGAGCAGGCGTGTGCCCTCAGAAGACAGTAAACCCCATAGGTAAAGAGGTTAAAGCAGGCTGAGTTGGCCAGAACAGGTTTGTTAATCCTCCCAAACTCCCAAACACAGGCACCCCACATTGTAGTGTTTTCCCTTTTCCTTCCCAAGGTGCAGGGAAGCTAGGGCCGAGCCTTTGTTCCAAGTAGTGAGGGAGTCTGGCCCGCTCTGCAGCAGAGTCCAGCTGGCCTGGACTCCCCAGATGGAGAGGGCAAGTGATTGCTAGTAGGGATGCGAGGGCCTCAGCTATAGACAGAGTGGGACAGAGGGGAAGCGTGTGAAACTAGAAGGCAGAAGGTGAGGTGACTGAGGATGTCATGGGAGCAAGAGTGAGAGAAGTTGATGGCTGGAAGGATGGCGATGGTGGTCAGAAAGGGAGGGGAGATTGGTGCTTAGCATTTCAGAGGCAGAGTTGCTCTGAAGATACACATCCATAGAGGTGGCTCCACCAGTGTGGGGGACTGAGGATGAAGGA